AGGCAAAAACGCAGGGACACCAACCCCAAATTGCACACCCATTTTTTTTTTTTTTTTTTTTTTCGTCTGTCCGGATACTATGCCTGCAGTGCCACAGTCTAGTACCGAAACGGCTCAGGCAATACTAGTAGGACAGGATACTACTACACCTGCACCAACTGAAAGCCAATGTGTGAAGTACAACAAACCTAAAAGGAAACGCTCAAGACGTCATAAGACCTCGAAGGCGTCACCAAGTAAGGGAGACGAGTGCCAGGCGTGCAATATCATTGTTTCTAAAGCTGACTCAGCTTTCGAATGCAATTTTTGCAAACGGTGGGTGCACTGCCGTTGCGACAAAGAGGTACCGAAATCATACTACGAGTTTATGAGAAATAACCCATGCCCGTGGTTTTGGTACATCTGTCCACTCTGTCGCCCTGGTGTAGTCACACAGAGCGTGTCTGCGGTTAGCAGAAACAACACGCCGCCCTTGTGTCCCAACACGGTCTTATGTAGCTCCCCACCTGCTAACGTCACATTGCCAAAACTTGGCACAGACAGTAAGAAGGACACTCCTGTCCTACTGACCGAAAATGCCAATTTTCACAAGGTGAAGATTCATAAGGTTGGACCTAAAAAATCAAGGAAAGATAGAGTTAGAGAAGCACCACTTGCATCCACAAGCAAGCTTGGCAACACAATAAAGGCTGGCCAGAACCCGATGAAGCCTAAAGTTGCTGATGCTGCAAAGGAATATGAGAAGCCAAAGGCCAAACCTAAGTCTGAGGTTAATCGGTCTAATTCGCTCATCCTCTTTAACGTACCTGTGAGCAAGGACAGCTTGCTTGAACAGCGGGCCCTGTTTGATCAGGAACAGTGGTCCAACCTGTGCAATAAACTAGGTCTGAATATTAGTTCAGTGAAATTGTGCAGGCTGTACAGGGGTGTCCACACACCTCAAGGTAAGCCACCCCCATTACGGGTTACACTGGACTCTGCCGAAGAGGCCGAAAAGGTACTATTGATGGCTCAGGTACTAGCCATCGACAGAAGCTCTAACATAAGGGTGAGACAAGACAGACCATGGGCTGTCAGACAAATGGCAAGGGAGTCACCGGAACTTTTGCCTTCCACCTCTATGGTAGTGCACGGTGTCCCGGAGCTGGAAACGGGCACTGCCTGTGAAAAACACATGCATGACGTACAGCAGTGGAGATGGCTGTCGTCTCAGATGGCCCTTGGCGCTTCTGGAGCCGTCTCCGTTTACCGACTACCTCGCCCCGCTCGTCTCACACTGATTAGCTCCCCAAGGCTGCTTAGTGTCACATTCAACTCCCCAGAGCAGTTGGCCATAACACTTCAACGGTGGTATGAGATCAAGGGGAAATTGGGAGGAAACATCCGATGTTGCGAAAGCAGACCTCGAACCATAAGGAGGCAGCAAACTGAGGCTTTAATACGTCCCCAAGCTTCAGTGACACTCGAGCGATGCAGTTCTGAGAATAACAGTCTGTGCCACCCAAGTGTCCTGCCTAAATCCAAGGGAAAAAACCACAATGGGCCGGTTCCATCGGAACTGGCCAATTAGTCCCAACACTAAGTTCCCTACCAGCAGATAGCTTCACGTCAACTACCCCACAACACGCTGAGGTTGTAAGACTCACTGTCAGCTGCCTGTATAGCAATGTGAGGGGGCTGAGAGTAAAAATAGGTGAACTCCGAAATCTCCAAGCACACCTACAACTGAAAATAATCATTCTCACCGAAACATGGCTAACCCCCACTATCGCCGATAATGAAATCAGTATAGGTGATATGGTTTTGGTCAGGAGAGACAGGGACAATAAGGAAGGAGGGGGAGTTGCCATATACTTTGATAGGCAACTTAAATGTGTTCGCGCAACGGACCCACCACTTATTGAACTCCCAGACTCCATATGGTGTCATTTCACCGTAGGCCACACCAAGCATTTACTTGGTGGCATCTACCGATCTCCCACCTATGGGGCAGAGCACAATCAGCTACTGCTCAGCACTATCACAGGGATACGAGACTTGGGCTATGACCAAATCACCATTGCTGGAGATTTCAATGCCCCATCACTGAACCTTGGCTCGGGGTATGCTAAGGGAAAATTCGGCCGAAATCTACTGCAAGCTATTCGGGACACGGGACTGACTGAGAATGTTGGAGACGACACTAGGTGGGGCCCTAGTGGAAAGTCATCAAAACTAGACTACATTCTAACTAGTGACCAACTACTCGTCGAAAAGGTCCAGGTCATGACTCCTCTAGGAAGTAGTGACCATGCAGTCATAGGTTTCGACCTCGTTCTCCGTGAGCACTTGCAGTGGGACGCTACGCAACCATGTCTGTGTTACAGCAAGGCTGACTACGCTGAAATGCGGAGGCTCTTGTTCGATGCAGACTGGCCCTTAGCATGGGATGAGCTGTCTGTGGATGAACACTGGGAAGCGGTAAAAAAGATTATTCATACAGCGATCTCGGATACCGTCCCTTTAGTCACAGCACAGCCAAAAAGAAAATCATCATGGTTAAAGAGAGGCACGCAGCGTATTCTGCAAGCAAAGAGGAAGGCTTGGTTTACGTGGCGCGTATCTAGAAGCCAGATCGACCATGATGCATACCTGGAACTCAGGAACCGGTGCAATGCAAGAGTCAGGAGGGACAGAAGGTCATTCCAGGCTAACCTTGCTAAAAAACTCCTGGCAAACCCGAAGAATTTGTACCGATTCATGTCGGAAAGGAAACCAACCAACCAAGGGGCTTGCGCCTTAGTAGGCCAAAACGGTCAATATCTCACTAGTCTGGAGATGGCTGAAACATTCAGTTTAGCCTTCGCCAAACAGCTAAACAGCAATGTGGGTATTACCGTTACGAACCAAAATGGTGGCATGACTATTTCACAGGAGGAAGACCAAATAGCCACCCCTCAAATAAACCCTGCAATAGTACTGAGAAAGCTGCAGCGACTTATACCTGGGAAGTCTCCAGGTTGTGATGACATCAGGCCATCTGTTCTGAAACAGTGCGCCGAAGCTCTCTGTAGGCCTTTATGCGACTTGTTCCAACACTCCATGGAATCGGGGAAACTGCCAAAGGAATGGAAAAGAAGCATCCTTTCTCCGATCTTCAAGGGTGGGGATAGGCAAAATCCCACCAGTTATAGACCAGTAGCTCTACTCCCAGTGGTATCGAAAGTACTGGAAAGTATTATTGATGATCACATCAGGGAATATCTGGATAGGTCTAAAATACTCCATGAAGCCCAACACGGTTTCAGGAAAGGAAGATCCTGCGTCACTAACTTATTATCAGCTTGGGACGATTGGACATCATGCTGGGATATGAATGTTCCTGTCCATGTGATCTTTCTAGACTTTAAGAAGGCATTTGACACTGTTCACCATGACCTTCTCCTACACAAAATAAGCCAGGTAGGTCTAGGTAAACCACTTCTGTCATGGTTGAAGGACTACCTGACTGAAAGGCAATTTTGCACCAAGGTCAATCGAGTCCGATCATCTTGGCACAGCTCGTCATCAGGAGTGTCGCAGGGTTCTATCCTGGGACCACTGATGTTCTTGATTTTTATCAATGATTTACCATGCCGTCTAAACTGCCCGACTCTTCTATACGCTGATGACGTAAAGATATGGAGGGCGGTAAAGTGTCCGGAGGACTCAGATAGGCTGCAGGCAGATCTAAGGCTTCTGGAAGACTGGGCGGTAACCAGTGGAATGACTTTCAACCTGAAAAAGTGCAAAGTAGTGAAGTTACGCACCTGTAGACTGCAGAATGCAAGTTATACCCTGTGCAATGAAAGCTTGTCCTGCTCAACGTCGGAACGTGACTTAGGTCTAGTTCTAACGGAGAAAATGGACACAAGCGTGAATTACACGGGGGATGTAGCGAGGGCATATGCGGTCATACACTTTACACATAGACAATTAGGTGCACTCACTCCTGAGCTCTTTCTAAGGTTGTATAAAACATACGTCAGACCGCATCTTGAAGTGCATAATATCATTGCACCCCCACTGCTTAAAAGAGACGCCAACCTCTTGGAAAGAGCCCAACGACGGGCAACAAAAGGAGTGGTTGGCCTCCGAAATAAACCATATGACGAAAGGCTGAAGAAATTAGGCCTATTCACACCCAGTTACCGTCGCCTGAGGGGGGATTTAATTACTGCCTACAAAATAACAAATGATCAGAATCACCCGAACAAAGGTGTTCTGCCATTGAGTAGGTATAGGCTCCCTCGTGGAAATCCCAGAAGGATAGCTCATCAGAGGGCAAGGACCCGGGTGCGCTCCCACTTCTTTTCCCTGCGGGTTTGCCGTCCCTGGAATTCCTTACCGGCAGATGTAGCTATGGCACCATCTGTGGACGCCTTTAAGCGAAGGCTGGACAACCTTGCAGTGACACAAGGACTGTATCCAAATGGCCTATCCCCTTAAAATCGCATATACCATTCAAAGATAGACAATTAAACTGGTCGTTTTACTTCTTCACATTCCCTTCAGTCTTACTCTCCTGACAGCTTTAACTACGCTTATTATTGTTATTATTATTATCATTATTACTGGTATATATTATATATATATATATGTATACCGGTTGACTGACTGTTGTTACGTTTTCTTATTTTTTTCTCTGTCTGTTAGTCTGAATACCTTTACTAATTATATCTATTATTATTATTATCTCTTTTCCATTGACGACGATACCGAAAGACTAACTGGTGAAAGGATCAACTCCATTCACAGTAGTAACAGTCTTAACACACTTCATACTACAGACGCCATATAATTAATCCCAGCACTACTCCTGTTGGAGTCAACCAAAGCTACGACAGTCGAGTGGCGGGACGAGCTACACAGACGTTTACCAAAGATCAGGAACCTCTACCTTACAATCAAGAGGCGAGCGCAAAGAAATCAAATTGGTTTATACTAGCTCGTAAAAAGATATTGGATATTGGAGATTGGAAATTGGATATTACTACAGACACATTTAACCTAGACCGGCACGTCAAGGTCGTTCTATTAAACATCAAATGGTAGGAGGAAATCAGCCTTAAATGCACTATAGGTGGATCTTACTAATACTTGTGATATTGATAAAAACCATGAAATTGAAACCTTTGATTAATTCACATGACAGCAACCTTTTCATTTAAAATTGTCTGTGACAACGTACTTATTTACGTACGCAAATAAGTTTAAGAGATGATATCCTTGTGGGAATTGCGCAAATTAAATACCGAATTTTTTTATTTAGGTTTCACTTTTTAACCATACCTTACGAACAGAATTGTGTAGTGGCTACTATTGCAAACTCAATTTTTTAAGGTTTTTGTCGCATTAACTAAGTTTCCAGTGCTCTTCTTAAAAACCACCAGCATTATAATGCTTACTGTAATTCTGAATTAAATCTCACTAATTCTGACGTACTATATATAGATCAGAACCTACTGGGTTTGCTTATCAGCGTTGTTCCAGCCCTCACAGGACATATTAAGCACGGGCTAGCGTTACTTCAGAACGAAAACACTTAGTTCAGCACCCAGCTATCTTTTTAAGCACGCCAGCGTTATTTCAAAACATAATGGGTAGATAAAATCTTCATTGACGATAAAAAGGCATTATCGAAGAATAGGTTAGAATATTTTCTAAACTTATAAGTTTAGAATTGTTGTAAGCTTGGGTATTCCAGTACTTAATGGGTTCATCTCAGGCAGATGAAATATTTATTTGCCATAAAATAACAAATGGCGATAAATTGACACAGTTAAAACTGGTTTGGAATTGTTGCAAGCTTGGGTATCACTCGTGGTAGAAGTTTGGGTTAATATTGGTGAATTTGGGGTTTACAGACATTACTGGAGATTCGTTGTTGTTTAAGTTTTTTTAATACTTGTGGGAGATGTCGATATATTAATTAATAAGTATTTATTAATGAATGGATTCATTTCCCTGAATTTTGCGTTTTCACAATAAATGCTTCCATAAGTTCCCCCAACATTTTTGCCCTTTTTCTTATGTTGTTTATCGAAAATTAGGTAAAGGCAAGTGGTAACAGCCTCAGTCGTACTACTCGATCGAAGCTCGAGCCTCAAAACAAGACATGTCTGTATATGTCTGGCTCCCACACTAGCCTGACTGAATGCATATCAGCTGTAAAGGGTGACTACTAGATAGCGACATCTTATTGTTCGCATCATCTCTCAAATTAATAAAGGAATATTAATTTCACCCACGTCGTTTATTTGTCCATCCTTCTCATCCATATGGATGAGTCATATGACTTAATTTAAAGATAATAGTAGCACGGCTGTTACTGATTTGGTATTGGCACTAGCTTACTTATATTGTTAAAGCACATGCAAAACTCACTCAGCAGTTTCCACGCAGCCTAATGTGGACATCTGGAGTTAGCTGATTTCTGTAGTCATCAGCGGAGTTTCAAATGCAATCCCAACTCGCCTACTTTGACGGCCTGATTCTGTAAACCCTTACAAATCAAACGTGTCAAATGATTTAGTATGTAATTAAAAGTTAATCTACGCTGTTTTCTGTGTACTTGTGGTGCTGTATTGATAATCTGCTAAGAATACCCATATAGGAAATTGATTGTATTTCGTTAAAAACTCAATTTCAGGGAAAAAAGCAGTCACTTCTTTTATGAGATTTATCTTAGTGCTTTACTCACTTCTAGTAAAAGTACATTTTTTGTTATGTATAAATATGTAGGGTGTACACTACTAATACTTTCATATGTCCATATATATTGAATGGTTGTACAAGCTGATTGAGTACACTTATGAGTACAGCGGTAAGTAAGTGCATCAACTCAGAACAACAGCAAACAAAAAAATCAATATAGACAAATACGCAGGTAAATCATGTAACATGTAATTTCAAAGCATTATTGACTATCACACACAAGGCGTCTAATGGCTAATAAATAAACCAATTTATTCCAATCAAAATTTAACAGTAGATGAACTATTTGAGTTTTGTACAAGCTACGCATACTTTGTGTCACTAACACAGTATAATTATAAGAATTTCATACTGTAATGTCTTATGTGGTATGCTTTCCACGAAGGGACCTGTTATCTATTAAGTAGTCGAAATTCTCCAGTAGATAAGTATAACCTTATGAACGTAAATGAGCCTGAATCACATCTCATTTTTAAAGTGAGAACCTCATTTATCGTAGTTTGAGTGGTGACAATGTTAACGAAACTGTATGACTTACAACTGCAAACTAGAGTAGATTATATATTAATACAAAATAAGCTTAAATACCGATTTCTTTACTAGGTAAACAGCTTAACTTTCCTCTTCAGTGACGCTTCAGACAACGAGAATGACCTAAAATCACCTACTTTTGGCTGCTTGTTATTGATAAAACACTACTGTGTTTTGAGGATTGCAAAAATCCCGTATGTGCTACAAGTGCAGTGAAAAATTCGTAGTAAGTTGAACTCGAAGGACACATTAAAAAGTTGTTTTATGTTAGCTTTTGTCAACAGCATCTACCTAAGAATATTGTAATCATTTCAGGTGCATGAATGTTGTTAACCAACTTCTTCTTATTTCTTGGAACTGAATTTTTCTGTCTGATTATTTTTTTTATTACTAATGTGTCTTTCGTATTGCAAAAAACAATAAGAAATTATAAGGCAGATTTTCCTTCTATCTTTTTAGATGATAACGACTAGGGGTTTACTGAAGTATGCACACCTGAAGAAATTGTGTTCAAGAGGAGTTCAATGTTATTCTGGAGAAGCAGGTTCTTGTTCATCAACAGGTGCTTTTCATCCTAGACCAGTGGTGACACCTCTTGGTTTAATCAAAGTAGTTGGTGTTGTATTACCTTCAATTTATCTTGGTTCATTCATAAGTAGAAGTGGAGCGGAATTTTTAGAAGAGAATGATATTTTCGTTCCAGAAGATGACTAGAATTAGACAAAACATACTATCATATTATTTCTTTTCTTTATTAATTTATTTTTGTTTGTTTGTGCACACAATTAGTTTCGTTAAGAGTTATTTTATTGTGAAAATTTTTCAAAGAATGTTTTCAGTGACTAATTTTTGAAACATGGTGATGAGAGAAGCGTATGTTGTTTTAACTTCTACAAAACTCTTGTATGACCCAAATGCTTTTACTAATAATATGTGGTACAAGTTAATGCACAGCATGATCTTTATCTTGTGTAATTATGTGATAATATCCGTATATTAGAAAGTAAATATCAAATAAAACTACTATTATATATAATATCAGTCAACTATATCCAGCTTCTGTATTTCTTTTCTTATCAAGTAAGTATCTGTGCGTTATTATATTATTATTATCATTGTATCCTTTAATTCCTACAGGAACATAGGGCTTCAACCGTGCGTCTCCATTGAGTTCGGTTCTCTGCTAGAGTGTTCACCTGGCTCCATGTCTGCCCACACGTTTTCATCTCCTCTTCACATGACCTCCTCCAAGTCACCATTGCACTGACGACCAACTCACCGCTTTTCTTTCGGGTTCCACTCAAGGGCTTGTCTAGTGATGTCACTTGATGGTTTCCTCAGAGTATGGCCAATCCATCTCCATTTCTGCCTGCCTATTTGTTTCACAATCGGTTCCTGGTTGGTTTGCTCATTACCAGAGATCTCTGTTTCTGATCTTTTCTGGCCATCTGATCTTGAGTATTGAGCGAAGACAACTGTTAATGAAGGTCTGTAGTTTGCTTGAGATGCTCTTTATGACGCGCAGTGCAAGTCTCTGATCCGTTTATTAGCACTGACTGACTTCACATTTGAGTTGAAAATCTGGATCTTATTTTTGATGCTGAGTGTTGTTGACCTCCACACAGACTTGAGAGTAGTGAAAGCTTGTCTTGCTTTTCCGATTCTTGCTTTGATATCCTCGTCAGTTCCGTCTGCCTGTAGTTGAAACGATGCTTCCCAGGTAGGTAAAAGAGGTTGTTTCTTTCAGGCTCCCCCCATTTAAGCTGATTGTCGTCTGTTGTTGTTGTTGCTGTTGGTGGTGTTCCCCGGGAATCTTCATCACTTCTGTTTTCTCTATGTTCACCTAAAGTCCTATCTTTGATGCTTCTTCTGCTAACTTGTTGCTTTTCGCCTGCATGTCTTCCAGTTTGTGGGAAATCAGACATATATCATCGGCGAAGTCCAGATCCTCCAAGTTTTTTGTGTGAGTCCATTTTATACTGTTTCCTCATTGCCCTGCCCACTGTTTGTCGCTTTATCCAATCTACTGCAATCAGGAAAATCTGTGCGTTATTATTGGTTAAATGTTCCCTATTTAATCTTCCATATCAGCTAACTTACTTTAAAACATTATTTGACTGTTGTTTTTTATCGGTTTAACCTGAGTTATACACGTTAATCATTCTAAGGTGAATGTGTTTAAGTAGCGAAGGAAACAATGTATAGCCTGCTGTAAACATACATCTCCCTTGGATTCCAAGTGGAACATAAGATTTCAACAGCATATTTGCATTTCATTCTATTCTCTCAGAAGCCTCTTTGGCTGGCTGCACGACTACTGCCTACAAGCTTTCATTTCCTCCTCATGCTATCTCTTTCACGTCAACGTATAGGAGCTACTCCAAACTGGTCGGGTTCCAGTACCAGAGCCTCGGGAGTGATGTCATTCAACATCCTACTGAGAATGTATTCGATCCATTTCCTTCTGCATATTCGTTGAGAAGAATGTTGATCGCATATTAATTTAGTTGTTAGATATATCACAGAATGAAAGGGTATTTTATATACTTGATGATGTTTCGGACACAATTTATTGTTCATAATTATATCAATTATAACCACATAACTTCGAAACTTTCGTTTGTATAGTTCTGAATAATAAATTGTGTTCGAAACGTCATCCAGTAAGTAATACTGTTTCATTGTGTGATATATGTAATAAATAAATAAATTAAATACTACTACAGTGCCCAAGTTTTACACATATATTAAAAATGTTGATCGTTGCTTCTCCACCAAAGACCCCTTGTTCCTAATCCTATCCTGTTAATTGTTCTTCACTATGTAGCTAAGACGGCTGTCGCTGTTAGTTTGCACTCTATTGGAATAATACCTCTGGTGACGCGTATATCAGCCAAGTCGAAGGAGTGATTTGACATCTGTGTTAAAAATCCGAATGTTGTTGTTTATGCAGACTGAGTGCAGGAAACTTACGCACTGATTGCTGATTCCTCATGACGTGTCTTGTTTTTCCGAGTATGGCTGGCTTTGACATCCTCATATGTACCACGATCAGTTAAAATGTCGCTGCGTAGATAAGTGTAGTGGAAGAGTTGACTTCCTTTAGATTCCTCACGTTTTTCAACATAATTTATTATTATTATTGTTATATAATTAGTTAAGAACACAATATTCAGCGAAGAGACTCTTTTCAACGAATTTATTATCAAGCTGTACAATCGTATATATATGGTTTTTTTATAAAAATTATATCCGGTGAGGGAATTAGGTCAAAGGTGTGAATACATGAAATAATAATAGTATGAAATGCAATTAAAATATTTGTGATTACAATCATAGTATAATCTCAAGTGGCAAAATAATTAATGTCGTATATAGAATAATACATAAGGTGTATAGATTTTGGAAAGGGGTACATAACCTTATTCATGAACTTGGAATTCAAAGGTGATGAAGCTTCAGATATGCTCAAAAATCGTCTCTCTAAATCAGTCAGTAGGACGTTCTATGCAGCAAAATTACATATGATGTTCACTAGCCGCAAGTTGTTCTCTACCTCTGTAAAAGATAAGCTCCCATGTCTAGCTGCCTCCATGTGCATCTATCAGTTCACCTGCTCTTGTGGAACAAGGTATATTGGCCATAGCTAGAGGACGATTTCCACACGGATACGAGAACATATTCCAGCATGGTTTTACAAGGGAGAAAGAAAGTGTGTGCGAAGCTCTATTTTGGAACACCTGATCAACTTCTGTCACTCTGTCAACCCTGACCATGATTTTAAGATCATATATAGAATCCATGCTAACTTCCCGCGTTTTCTTCGTTACAGACTTCTAAAGACAGCTGAGGCCTTGGCGATTCATGACTTTAAGCCAAACCTTTGTGTACAAAAGAAGTATGTACAATCCCTACTTCTGCCTTGGCCGTAGAGGGATAGAGATTTATTTATTTTGCTTATTTAGTTATTCTATGTACTTTTCCCTTATTACTACGATTATTATTACTATCATTATTATTATTATTCTCACTCTGAATCTTTTCCACTTGACATTTTAAACCCAAAATTATTCATTTTTATATTTTTATTTTTACAATATTGAATTCTATCTTATCAAATTTCACACCATGTCATGTAACATTTTATATTCGGCTACTTATCTTATAATTATGTACCCCTTTCCAAAATCTATACACCTTATATATTATTCTATATACGACATTAATTATTTTGCCACTTGAAATTATACTATGATTGTAATCACAAATATTTTAATTTCATTTCATACTATTATTATTTTATGTATTCACACCTTTGACCTAATTCCCTCACCGGATATAATTTTTATAAAAAAACCACATATATACTATTGTACAGCTTGATAATAAATTCGTTGAAAAGAGTCTCTTCGCTGAATATTGTGTTCTTAATGCTACAATGGGAATTATTAAAATATAATTAGTTGTCTTGATTACGTGTTAGATAAAGTAATGAAAATACTGAAGTTATTTGAAAGAAAGGTGAAAGTTTGTAGCCAGTCTCCTTGTCCAATAATTATATATTTAACTGGACAATTGTTTTCCAGCATTAGCATTAGCACTCATGGCTAATTCTTCAGTGGGATTGTATATTGTAGTATTTAAATATTACAACTGACACACACTAATACATGTTTCAACAAGAGAGTGTATATAAATATAGCCAACCAATGGTGAACGCTATTTCGTATATATCCCAAGTAATGGATGCATTTCATTAGGGAAATACATGGGTTCCTTGAAAATCGTGCCAACTGATTACGAACTTTTACCTGGAATATTCCTTAAACCATTATGTTATTTGTACTAGTTCTTGAGGTTGTCAGACAAACCTTGTGAAGTTTTGTTTAATATTATTTGAAATTGGCCGGATTTTCAACAAATGTTAATTATATTTAAATATTGGGCAAACCTTTCTTGAGTATATGCAAATTTTCTAGATTAGATTTTGAATCTTATTGTTGTAACAGCGCAGATGTTAAAAATAATATCATATGGCGGACATTTTTCTGTTTTCGCTTACTACTAGCCTTTTGCATTTTTGCCTCATTGTAAACGCACTTTTAATGTTTGAAGGTGTAATGTCGAGTGTAATCCATCTAGGCACCGGTAGTCCCAAAAATTGTTTACCTGTTCCGAACTCCATCAACTGAGGCTTGTTTAGCCAGACAGTTTGACTGGTATTCACAGAATATGTGGAGCTCATTTTCCAGCTGAATATAAGTACTATCAATCACTGATTAAAACTACTACTACTACTGCTTCAGTGAAAGGGTGACAGTTATGTCAAATATTTCGTAGCATAAAGTTGATCAGAGGGATTGAATACAAGGTATAAAATTTTAAATACACCGGGCTGATGAAAGGACAGTTGAAATATATTCCCTTCTGTGCTAATAATAACGAGACAAGATATTTACAATTATTGCTATCACTAGGTGCGATAAGAACAGTGAACATGATGCAACGGCAAAGAATTTTAGAAACAAAGTAGTTGTACTGGATAGCTGTTTCGCCCCCTCGCTGGAGAATCTTCATCAGTACGCACACACCAGGTTTCAAACCCAGGACCTTTCAAGTTACAAGGCGAACTCTTAAATCATTTACCAACTAGGACCCGATCCAGCGGCTCGTGAATTCCAACTTCTACCAATTTTTAAACCCCGTTTGGTGCGTAACGCTGAAGAGTTCAAAACCAGGAGGAAACAGCTGTCCACTACTACTCCCAGCTTTTTCAATGATTCTCTAAATGAAGTCAACTTGTAAAATCAGTATTTATCCCTCTAGTGTACGGATACGACTTTTCACAACATCTTTGAGTGTGTATTCTCAACTAATCATCTAATGGTTGTATGACATGTTGGCGGCAGGGCAAACAGACAATGTCGATGATAATCGCCGTAGCCAAACGACTTTGTTGGATATATTAACAAGCGAAAAATATAAGGATGTATACAGCAAGGTATGCAAAATAAGGTTTTGAGAAAAATACTCAAGGTATATTATTG